AGAGCTAAAGCGGACTTAGCCTGCCACCTTGTGGCGATAAGATGTACTATTTTTCACGCAGCTGCGTGATTCCCGAGAAGCGTGAATGAAGACGACAAAACGGAATGGGACCTACTGTATCTGTGTGAGTGAAGGTAACAGACTGCTCAGAACAGACTTCAGAAATCTAGTGGGTAGTACATCCAAGCTGCATGTGGAGGAGCTCAAACTGGAGATTATCTCTTGGACAGTTTTATCATTTACAGGTGCAAAGTGAGTTAGCTCAGAGAGCCTTTCTGGCTGTTGGATGGTTATCTGTGGATTGGAGACCAGTGTTGGGCACGTTACTTTGAAAAAGTAATTAGTTATAGTTACTAGTTACTTCTCCCAAAAAGTAACTGAGTTACTAACGGAGTTACTCCACTATAAAAGTAACTAGTTACCAGTAAAAGTAACTATTGCGTTACTTTTTCGTTCTGTTCTGGAACATAATGTGCACCCGATGTGCGCATTTTTACCTTTAACCTCAGTGAGTCTGAAATATTGCCAATATTTCCATCTAGAAAAGGCTGTTTTGCTGCTGAAGTCCTGTTCACTCTTCATCTCTCTCTGTGCTGTAAGCACTAAACACAAACACCAGCCACTGTGAATGTGGAAACACCGGTGAAGCACTGACTTCAGACCAATCAGATGAACATATATATCATATAAATCAAGTGGACAATTTGTTTGCCTACAGCAAAATATGTTTCATGGCCGCATTGTTTGTTCATACAAAACGCAAAACTATGAGTTATGGGTCTTACCTTATAAATGACCTGCACAGACCACTTCAGTTCAGACCAGTTCAGTGTTTAAGTCCAGATAATAGTTTGAGCGTAGATATGTAATCCTCCATTTGGAAATGAGTTTTAAAAAGCAAAACAAAACGCGTGTGTCCTCCGTAAACTCCTCTGTTTTGCTAGGTGCAGCCGGGTGCATCCAATTTCTAAAATCAACCGTCTTACACTTCACCTCTCTTTCTTATCATTCCTATAGTAATTGAAAAATTACCGTAAGTGCATTTTAAATTATCTTAAAATGTGTTATATGTATGTTAGCCAAACTTGTTGCAGCCCTTAGCAGATAAACCAGGAAGAGAAAGGAGCTTTCAGATGGAATTGTATGCAGCCGACTTCTGCGCTCACATGCGCTCCTCTGAGCCCTCACGGTGATACAAGCCGTGGTAGAGTGTGATTAAGACCCATATTTGTTTCAAAAACACAATTTATGACCATCCTCTCAACTGTAGACATGTAGATTGTAAAGGAAATATGTTTTACATCAGCCAATAATTGCTGAGAGGTTTTCTCATCCTCCTTTCTCTCATGACAACACGCGCACGAGTCCTATCACGAAGTAAAAAGAGAAGTTCATTGTGCGTCTTGAGTAACGCGCAGTAACGGGATGTCGGAAATGATAACGGCGTTATAGTTACTGTCAAAGTAATTAGTTAGATTACTCGTTACTGAAAAAAGTAACGGCGTTAGTAACGCCGTTACTAGTAACGCCGTTATTCCCATCACTGTTGGAGACAATGGCGTTTTTGATGCCTTGAACCTTGTCATTTAAAAAATTATCAAACTCATTGCATTTACGTTTGGAAGTAAGCTCTAATGGCATTTGAACAGGGGGGTTTGTTAATCTATTAACTGTTGAGAACAGAACACGCAGATTGTTGCTGCAGCCTTCAATCATTTCAGAAAAATACCTTTCTCTCGTACTACGTAGCACCCGGTTAAACTCGCACAACTTATCTTTGAAGATCTCGTAATCTACCTGGAGGTTGGACTTGCGCCACTTCCGCTCGGCCCTCCGGCACTTTCTCTTTTGTGCCCTGACCGAGTCTGCTTTAGCCCACGGCGCCTTCTGCTTATTTTTCACTATTTTAACCTTCACAGGGGCAACGGTATCCAGAACATTCAAAACACTAGAGGTGACAGAGTTAAACAGTTCATCTACAGTAGAATACGATGTATTCTCAAAGTTTATCATTTCCATAAATAGTTCACTCGTATTTTCATTTATGCGCTTTCTTCGAACAGTTGCAGAGTCCACTGGTGGTTTGTTAGTGAAACACATGTCAAAAAAAACACAGAAATGATCCGAAAGAGCAACATCGACCACGTTTACATTTGAAATAATCACCCCCTTTGTAACTAACAGATCTAGAGTGTGCCCTCTGCTGTGGGTGGGGCCACTTACGTGCTGAGTGAGATCAAAGGATTCAAGTACAGAACTCAGCTCATTTGCATTTCTGTCATCAACATTATCCACATGAATATTAAAATCACCTGTAATAACCAAACTATCAAAATCTGTGCATACAACTGAAAGCAACTCGGTAAAATTATCAATAAAACTGTGACATGACTGCGGTGGCTTGTATAGGACAACGAAGAGTATTGGAGGAGATTGTTTTTGTTGTATTTTAAAAGACACATATTCAAATGACGAAAACTTCCCAAGAGACATTCTATGGGAGACAAAGTGGTCTCTAAAAATGGCAGCTAAGCCTCCTCCTTTTTTGTTTTCCCGTATTTCAGATTCAAACTTGAAATTTGGTGGTGATGCTTCTATTAAAACTGCATTTTCTGAATTTTGGTCAAGCCAAGTTTCAGCCATGAACATAAGATCAAGATTATGGGAACAAATAAAATTATTGATTAAAAAAGACTTGTTACAAAGAGATCTGACATTAAGCGTAGAAAGTTTCAAAGTTTCAGTATCAGCGGTTGCGGTCGGCTGATTCTTATACGGAACAAGAATTAGATTTTCCAGATTAGACTGATTAACTCCAGATGTTTTTCTGTAATGTATTCTTTGTGTTATCACTAAGGGAATGGCACAGGTGGCTTCATGACAGGGCCCCAGCCGGGTCTCTCCTCTAACTAGACTGCCAGTGGCTGCGAAGCAGAGACCCTGTGCATCCTAGTGTTTAGAGAAAAGAGGGGAAGGGGAAGGCAGGGGAGGAGGATGGAGAGGTGGGTGGCTTTTGGGTGTTGAACGAAGGGGGCAGGGAGGTGGAGGGGTTTTAGGTGATGGGTTAGGGCCGGGGTGGGCTGAGGCAGAGGTTTTGGATGTTGAACGAGGGGGAAGTGGGGGTGGAATGGTCATGAGGTTAGGGGAGGGACTGGCTGAGGTGGTTTTTGTAGGTGAATTGGAAACCCTAGGTGGTTTTGGAGGTACATATGGGGAGTGGTTTAGCATGTTGGACAGGACTCTAGATCGAGTTAATATGGGTGTGAGAGGAATAGTCTTCATCGCCGATTTTATTAGCCCGGCAGAGTGTTCAGGTAGGTCTAACAGTGAAGGCGGGGATGAAAAACAAAGGGAGGTGTCCCCATTCTCTCTTGATGGAGTGGACGTGGCAGGGGGGACCCAAGACAGGTCCATGGGAGGTGGCGAGGGAGTCTTTGATGGAGGGGCAGGTGGTTGAGGAAACCCCAGCACAAGCCTGTCTGCTGTAGGCTGGGGTGAGGATGGGGGCTTCAGAGGCGCTGTAGATGAAGAAGGCGTGGCTGCTTTGGAGCAGGCTGGGGATGAGGATGTTGGTGGTGGTGGTCGTGCTGCTGGTGCTGCTACTGGTGATGATGCAGCTGCTTCTGATGACAGTGGAGGTGTTGAGATCCTTCGAGGTGGTGATGGTGTTGAGATCCTTTGAGGCGGTGATGGTGTTGAGATCCTTCGAGGTGGTGGTGGTGTTGAGATCCTTCGAGGTGGTGGTGGTGTTGAGATCCTTCGAGGTGGTGGTGGTGTTGAGATCCTTCGAGGTGGTGGAGGTGCAGAGACTTTTGGAGTTGGCTTCCTCCCTTTCGATGGCTGCACGCGCTGCGCAGGCTGAGGTCTCAGGGCAAAAGAAAGGTTATCCATCTACACTTTTACTCCGTAAGTGTTCAGATGTGGCCCTTTCCCTTCAAAAAGCTCATGCCTATTCCAGAACAGATTAAAATTCTCAATGAAGGCAAGTCCTCTGCGTGAACATTCGTTGAGTAGGAAAGTATTTAGCTGATACAGACGACTGAATTTCATTTGCTTCCCGTCCACATTTGGTAGTGGGCCACTGATAACGATTTTTGTGTCCATTTTAGCAAGGTCGTCCAATAAGAGAGAGTAATCCCGTTTCAACTTTTCACTTGTGTTGTCATAGACGTCTACTGCCCCCACGTGGATCAACAATCTTTTTACCCTGCCGGTCTCAGACAGAAGCCTCGGAGCCAACCGCCTTATCTCATCCACTTTAGCAGAGTGTACTGAGTGAACCTTGAGATTACGCATATTTACATTTCTTATCGCCGAATCCCCGATAAAGAGCGACTCAGCTGCATTTGACCTTGACTGAGACTGAGACTGGGACTGAGAGGCTACTGCTGATTCATCTTCCAAAAGTGGTGAAAAGCGGTTTCTTGTAATTAAAGATTTTTGCTGTGGCATTATGACACTCTTGTTATCATTAGCTTTGCCTTGTTTGGGCTTGGCACCATATGTGTTCCAACAATTGTCTCTGTTGATTTTGGGAAATGAAATAGCGTCATCATAACTTACGTTCTGTCCATGTGGTCCATTTCCTTTCACTGGTATTGTTGTGTTCAGCCCCAATTCTGATTCAAGCACAAACATTCGGTCTTGAAGAAGTTTTAGCTCCTGTTTGAGTGAAAAACAGCCGTCGCAAAGTTTTGTTCTATTTTCCCGTCCTCCCGACATGCTGTAAGTTAGGTAAATTCCACCAGTCTTGTGTTGAAGTTTGTAAAAAGGAGTAATCCGTGTTTTGTGGAATAAAAATGTAAGCAAAAATGATTAAAGGAGATAAAAAAGCAGCAAGCGAGGAGCAGCAAGAGAATGCGACTGCTCTGTCCAGAGCAGTCGCTTTTTCATGAATTTAATATTTGTATTTTTCTTTCTATTTGTATTTTTCTTTCGCAGTGGCCACATCACAGACTCCAGCCTCCTCCTCGACTCCGGTCATTTATGTTGTGGTTCCCATGGCTGCACTCTTCATTGTGGCGATTGTGGCGTCAGCGGGTTTTCTCCTCCACAGAAAATATAGCAGGTAATTGAGAGGTACAGTACATTAAAAAGAAAATGAATTAGGGAAACCTTTTGCCAATGTATTGAGTCTGTTTTGTCTTTAATAAGGTGATTGGCAGGTGAGCAACAGTAACGTTAACAGCTATGTCATCAAAGTGCCCTTGGCTACCATGTCGGCTAATAACACGGGGCTAATAATACATTTTGAATATTAAGGGCTGTCTAATATTTGTTCAAATATATCAATATTTTTTATTTTTAGAATTATATTTGAATTTTGAAGTCAAAGCCCTAGTGTTTACCAGCGCTGTAGAGGCTAGAGGACGCATTCCGTTCGCTCCTCGTTCTGTGAGTGGAGGAGAGCTAGCAGCCCGCTAAGTCTCTACTCAGCACTTTTTACGGCCTGAATTCATACACAAGCTGAATCAATGAGCTCAAGTTTTCAATGAAATGACGGATTATTATACAAGGGTTAGTATTCGAGATAAACTCTGCAGGCTGTCCCAGATCTTGCGCTAGCCTTATCCCCTTTAATATTCTTTCAAAATTTGACACATTGACAACTCTATGCCTTTGTTGTTCTCATTAGCAGAAATGTTGTGTCCAAATCAGTGGGGGCGGGTCCCAGCTCAAAAGTGGCGAAAATGACATGCGCTGACATGCTTGCAATAACACCCCGGGCCGAGGGGGGTGGACCCAGAAGAAGAATTAGCCAATGCTAACATGTAGCATTGGCAGACCTCTCGAAAACGTCTTTACAGGATGGACCAAAAGTTGGCTCTTGGCCCAAAGCTCCGTTCAACATGTGTGTCAATGCTGAGGGGGGTGGATTTTTTTGGTCCAGTCTAGTTTACTTGCTGTGAATGTTTTAAGTCTCTCGTTCAAATGAATGGAGTTGCGCCGGCTGACGCATGCGCAGATGCGTTTTTTCACAATTTTCTTGTGGGCGGGACCACTCGCGACCATTTTGGATAGCTCCAGTAGAGCAAATTTTTTGGCCCATTAGTTAGAACGGCGGAGATAGGCGTGACTCTGTCCGTTTATATATACAGTCAATGGTCCAAACATTCGCACCTTCAGACTTATTTTGGCTGTAGTAAGGTTTGGATGTGTTAAGAGGATTGTCTTGACAAGGAACATTTTGACTTCCACACCTACTGTGGATCCTACCATGTTTCCACAGTAGGATCCAAAGTTCTCCCTCACACACACCACACACACATGAGGGGGAGGGGGGGGGGGGAGTTAGTTTGAAGGCATGTCACCGAGAAGGTTTCGTCACTGTAGTTTGAAAAATTTTATTTAAACCAACAATAACAATTCCCAGACCAGAACCTTGAATACCATAGAAGACTGGGTTGCCAACCATAAAAAGCATAAAATTAATGAAGCTCAAGAACTCTAGCCTGGCTCCAGCCGACCTTTAGCCCCGCCTCCATGGAATTTCAGCGGGCAGGTCGGTCTGGCATTTCTCAATTGAAAAACTATTATGCCCGGTACGAAACATACCGGGCCAGTCAGAGTATTTAAGCTGCATTGTTAAATGCTGTCTTAGGGGGAAAAAAAATCCCAGCTGATAAAGGCTTGTCTACGCCAACATAGAAGGCCACAATAGAGCAGAACTACATAAAAATACATATTTTAAAAATTATAGATTATTGTTTAATATGAACAAGCAGCACGATGGAGCGGTTGGTGCTAATGCTTCACAGCAAGAAGGACAAATGCACCTCCAGATGGGGCCTTTCTGGGCAGAGTTTGCATGTTCTCTCCATGTCTGCATCGGTTTCCTCCGGGTGCGCCGGTTGCACCTACTTCTATAAACATGTACAATATTTCAGTGAAAATGTGGGACAGTGATAGAAATAAGCCCAAGACTATAATCTGGTGTATTTACAGCACTGCTGTAACTCTCCTCATACAAATAAACACATTATTTCAACAAAACAAAATCAAGAACTCTTGACTGAATTTCACTTGGTTTATTAGTTGTTTATCTTGCAAAAATGTGTTTTTTTCATGTCAGTAAGTATCACAGCATCATATACGTATATGATTCATTTAGTCAATTTCAGGTGTTTCTCTTGCCAACAATATTTTTCCTAAAAGGGTCTTAAAGTATATAATATTTAAACTTCTATATGTGTCCCCAGATCACAAGCACAAATCATCTTTGACCTTTTTCTGTACAAATATTTAAAGTAGAGTCCTTAAACTCTTCAAAAATACAGAGGACATGAGGTTTTCAAGCAGTTCAATCAGAGCGCAAAATCATTTGGGAGTGCAAAATCAACCCATTTTGGCTCCATATTCTTTTTTAATAACAAACAACAGTAGTATCACAATTGTGTTTAACCCTTGTATTATGTTAAGGGTCAATTTGACCCATTTCAGTTTTTGAGTTGATCAAAGTACTGGTTATCCTTTCTTTTTCTTGCTGAAATTTGGTGAGTTTTCCTCATCTAGGGTCATGAACTGGTGTGTAAAATCTGGACACTTTGATGTGTAGTGGAATGTCTGTGCAGAGTTTGTATACAAAGATGATGTTGCGGGTCATTTTGACCCAGACGCTTTAATGTGGGTAAAAAGTTGTTCAGATCCAAAAAAACATGTCTCTTTGACATTGTATTTTGATTGCCTATGAGACCCAGAGCCAGGTGTGTGAAGAGAGGGAACTTTCTCACACTTTTCCTTGTTACTGTTATCATGTCATCTCTTTTGCCTAGCGTACATCCGACTGGCAACTGATTATATCCGTCGCATATGAGTTGCTGCCCCTCACACATCGACAATCTGGTGAAAACGGGCAACTCCCAGTATCAGGCCAGTCTCAGGAATAACAGCGCGTACATCAACAGCAACTGGCCTCAACTACTGTGTGTTTTCTGACATAAACTGTAGAGGGCGCAATACACGCAATACACTCATGTTGTTGGAGCACATCGGGTGATATCTCCGGATCTAAGGACAACTAGTTTCCGAAAAGTAGAACACGGGCAACTGACTGAATCCGGAGATCGACTGTTTATCTACAGTTGTAAGAGCGCTCACATCGACCGATTTTGGCAACTGATCATCTCCATCATCTCCTCTCAGTCGCCAAAAGCCGTTGTTTCCAGTTACTCTGTCGATGTGCGCTAGGTTTTATACAAACTCACCAAAAATGAGCTCCAGAAGGAACACATCTGAGGAGGCTTTATCACAGATTTTTAACTGGGATAATGATGTAGAGGAAGAGATTTCAGAAACAGAGGATTTTTCAGAGACAGAGGACAGTGTTATTGCTGATCCAGAATGTCAATTTTCTTACGATAAGGAGGATTCAGAGGACGAATCTTTGGTCAAGGAAGGAGGATGGGAGGAATGAAGTAAGGTAGGAAGGAAAGAAGGGAGAAAGGAAGGAAGGAAGGAAGAGAAAAGAAGGGAATAGAGGAGGATGAACAGAGAAGGAAAACAGGATGAGAAGACGGAAGGAGAAAGCATGGCAGGAGGAAAGAAGGAGGGAAGAATTGTCATTTTGACCCGAGAGGAGGACAAGAGGATTAGATTAAATCTTTCTTAAATATAGCGTTGGAATTAAATATTTATTGTATGTCACTTTTCTAAATATTTATATAACCTAAAATAAAGTTGTTATTAGTTTAACCTGTTTTCTTGACTGTTTTGAGTTTTGAGACAGCTGCCATCACGGACTGATGTCATCAACACGAGACGTGTGTAGCTGAACGCCGTTTGGAATGGCCGACTAAAAATATGATTAAACTATGATCTCCTAACTGTTTGCCTCTGCTGTGGATAATACAGTGGCCTGTTTGGTGCACACTCATCATGCCTGGAGATGCGCTTACAACGGATGACATCCAAAACACAGTAAGCAAACAAATGGACGCACTTTTCCAAGATAATGATTTCATACGGAAAATCACGCAGACACTGGTGGACTCCCTCATTGAACCGATTAAACGGGCTCTTACTGAATCCATTACGGACTCTGTAAGAAACTCTCTTAAGTATGAGCTGCAAAACATGACTGACTCAATGAATGAACTAAAGGACAAGTATAATGACATCGAGGACTCGCTAGATGAGCAAGAACAGTATTCGAGGCGGAACTGTCTTGTTCTTTTTGGTGTCCCGGAAAATGATCATGAAAATGTAAACAAAGTCGTCATGAATGTCTTGAAAAACAATCTCAACATAGCGGTGCAACCTGGTGATGTTGACAGGACCCATCGCCTCGGTCCTAAATCCACCACGCGGGTCAAACCACGGGGGATTATCATCAAATTTGCCCACTATAACCTCAGAGACAAAGTCTACCGGACGAAAAAACAACTGAAGGGTGTAACTCCAAAGATGCACATCCTGGAAAGCTTAACAGCTAAACGCGCAAAACTACTGGATGATTTGCGCAAAAGCTACAAGGACAAGCTGGCTGCAAGCTGGACACAGGATGGTCGCCTTTACCTACTCACAAATGCAAACCAACGCCACGTGTTAAACAAACTATCTGACCTTAATAAGCTACGGATTCGTTGACATTGGATAAAGTGCCTATTTTTACCAAAATCTGTGAGTACTAACCATGGATCATATGACTCATAATTTTTAGAAACAGTTAAAGTCGGCCTGATCCTCCAAAGGGATTTTTTGTTTGTCTTCACATATCTTGTTTGACTCCTTTCCATATCCTTCCCATCTATCTTTTCTTTTTGCTTTTGTTTGGTGAATTTCATTTGTTTAGGTTAGTTTAGGTTCAGGTTCAGATTTAGGCCTTAGTCTTACCAAATGCTTACCGGTAATCTCAATATGGTACCACTATTTGCTACACACATTGGTTCCCTAATATGTATCACTCATAATGAATGGTTTTTAATGATACCAATGATGAAGTACTGAAACAGCACTCCTTCGAAACGATTGATTGCAAACAAATTACACCAGAACATTTTAAATATATTACAAATAAAAATAAGCATCCCTTATCTTTTCTACATCTAAATACGAGAAGCCTAAACAAGCACCACGATGATCTGATATCCCTGCTGACTAGCCTGGACTACAAGTTTGATTTTATAGGGTGCAGTGAAACATGGCTCAATGAAAAGACTTGCCTAGATACCCTAAATCTCAAGGGTTATGTACTGTATAATAAAAACAGGACTAGTAGATCTGGTGGTGGCGTGTGCTTATATGTAAACAAACTCCACTCTGTGACCGTTCGAAATGATTTGTGCATAAAGGATGCTCACTCGGATTCCCTATTTGTTGAAATCAAAGTCAAGAATGGGAAAAACATAATAATAGGAGTGATTTATCGCCCCCCAGATTCCGAGGTAAACAAATTCTTAACTAATTTGGATGAGTTACTAAATATAATAAATCAATCCTGTAAACCTTGCTTTATTCTAGGGGACTTTAATGTAAATCTAGCCACGGAAAGCATTATGAAAAATGATTTCTTAAACTGCCTGTCCTCCTCATCCTTCTTCCCAACAATCAATATATATACACGCATAAAAGATGCATCCAAATCAATCATTGATAATATCATCACTAATATTCACAATACTAGACTTAACTCAGGTGTAATTTTATCAGATATTACTGACCATTTTCCCGTTGCACTTCTTGCTGACCTGGAAATACAACTAAATAACTCTGTAATAGAAACTAAAATAAAAGTGTTCAATGAAAATAATTTACGTAAATTATCTGAATATCTAAGAAACCATTCATGGAATTCTGTCTATTACTGCAAATGTCCAGATGGAGCATATAATGCCCTGATCCATGAAATAATGGAAAGCATAAATCTATGTATACCTGAAAAAATTCTAAAAAGAAAAGTGGAGGATGGGAAAAAATGGCTTACACAAGGAATCTTGAAATCAATAAAAAAAAAAAATACTTTGTACCGCCATTTCAAAAACGGAGAAACTGAAGCGAATAAAATGAAATATATTACATATAAGAATAAATTGACAAAAATTATTCGTAAAAGCAAACAAATGTACTATTCTGAGCAGTTAAAGGCTTCTCGTGGCGATCAGAAGCAGTGCTGGAAAGTACTTAATGAGGTCCTAAACCGGGGTCAAAAAACAAATACATTACCTGACACCATAATGAATGCAGCCAATGGCTCCACTGACAACAATCTTGCTAATTGTTTCAATGAGTATTTTAACTCAATAGGTGAAACCTTATCCAATAATATAAGTCCAAAAGAGGGAGCCAATTACAAACAGTATCTAAAAGGCAACTATCCGGGCTCTTTCTATCTCTCACCAACTGACAAATATGAAATCACTAATTTAATTTTGACCATGAAAAGCTCCAACACAGCCGGTGCCGACAGTATAAGCAGCAAAATCGTAAAATTCATAATCCATGAAATTGTCGACCCTCTAACTTACTGCCTTAACCTCTCCCTTCAATGTGGAGTGGTGCCAAAAATGACTAAAATTTCCAAAATTCTCCCAATATTCAAATCTGGTGACAAAAATGATATTAAAAACTACCGACCAATATCTATTTTACCAACACTATCTAAAATATTCGAAAAAGTTGTCTATAAGAGGTTAATTGACTACTTAAATAAACAAAATATTCTCACAACATCACAATATGGCTTCAGAAAAAAGAGCACCACTTGCATGGCAATTCTGGATCTGGTAGAAAAAATCAACGACGCTATCGATAAAGGTGAGTGTGGCATCGGTGTCTTCCTTGACTTATCGAAAGCGTTTGATACTATTGATTTTAACATACTCCTTGGCAAATTGAAACATTATGGTGTCAGAGGTTTAGCACTCAGTTGGTTCAGCAGCTACTTAAATGAAAGGGAGCAATATGTGTACTCTAATAATCAGACTTCACACCGTAAAACCATTAAATGTGGGGTCCCACAGGGCTCAGTCCTAGGCCCGCTACTATTCATTATTTATGTAAATGACTTTCCAAATTCATCTCAAATCCTCCATAATGTAATCTTTGCTGATGATACAAACCTATTTTTATCCCACAAAGACCCAAAACGTCTACAAAACACTATAAATGATGAATTAAGAAAAGTAGACACCTGGTTCAATTGTAATAAATTAACATTAAACATAAATAAAACCAAATTTATTGTATTTCGCTCGAATAGAAACAGGAAAAATCTTGAAAATATACATATCTCAATAAACAGTATAAATATTGAAAGACTAAACTGTATTACATTTCTTGGAATTCAAATTGATGAACACCTGAATTTCAAAAAACATATTGATCATCTTGTTAAAAAATTATCCAAATATGTCGGCTTATTTTATAAATTGAGACATTTCCTTCCCCTTGAGGCCCTTTTGATTTTGTACCGATCCCTTTTTGAACCCCATCTAAATTACTGCAACGTGATCTGGTGCAACACATTCCCCAGCTATCTTTTGAAATTACAAGCTCTTCAAAAGAAAGCCATTCGAGCCATTTCTTGGGCCAAGTTTAACAGCCCCACTGATCACTTATTCTATAAATATAAGCTTCTGAAACTTACTGAGTGCAGCCTCTTCCAAAATGCATGTATAATGTATAATGTAGTGTTTAGACCTAAGGACAGACTGGCTCAGCTCATCCCAATCTCTACACCTGCTCATGATTACAATACAAGACATAAAACCCTTTTACAGGGAAAAATTAGAAAACTCAAGTGTACAAGCTTCAGTGTGGCGTGTAAAGGCCCACAAGTTTGGAACGAGCTGAACATTAACATTAAAACCGTAAGATCTCTGGCTATTTTTAAAAATAAACTAAAAATTGAGCTTCTAGAAAAGTATAATAAACCCTAGCTGATGACCTCTAACAAGACTTATGTATTTATGTTTGATCGTAATATGTAATGTGTGTAAGCAAAAAAAATAAAAATAAATAATAATAATAATAATAATTCGTACCTTTTAAGTAAATTGATGAAACTCTAAGCTAGTAAAAGTAAGGTAAGGCAGTTTTAATTAGAGCAGGTAAGGTTAGTTAGTAGGTAATAGAATAGGTATCTAGGGTAATATGTATAGGTTACTAATGTATGTTTGTGTTCTTAATATTGTGTATTGTCTTGGGCCCCATATATAAGCTAAATGTTGCTTCAAGGGTGTCCCGTTTATGAATATGCACTATCATCTATAAATGGATGTTAAAATGTTTTTTACTGTATATTTGTAATAAACTGAAACTGAAACATTTACACAGTACGGGTCAAAATGACCCGCAACATAAGCAATGTCATTTTTTTTCAACATAATACAAGGGTTTTAAAAAAAAAAAAAAGTTGCCTTACACAAGACACACAGTTTGTCTCATTCTTTGTTAAATGCATCAGTAATCAGTGATTTGGAACTACAGGCAGGAAGCTGCTGACATCAAGTGTGATTGCATTTGCAATGACTTTATTACACCACTAAGATAATAATTGGTTTGTTTGTGTGGTGCCTCAGGGTGCAGTCTTTGGAAAGAAGTTCATCTGGATCCTATTTGAACTTCACCCGAACATCAACAAACCCAAACAACGGGTAAAAACACAGGTCTACAGTAACCACCGTAGCATTCTTTTCAATCATAAAACATTTGTTTGTTCTAGTGCGTTGTCTGCTTTGACCCGCTGCCCTCCTCAACATGAAGGCCTGAAAGTCATAGATGATGAGCCAGTGTACAGCAACGTGCAGGTACGTGTTTTCCAATGCCTGACACCACTTTGGATTTCTTGTTCCAATTCCGATTTCTTGGAGGTCTTGTTAAAGGGGATATAACCTAAAAATGCACTTTTCTCAGCTTTTGAACACATTTTAGTCGTCTCCTCTTGTAATTTTCACACACAAAGCTGTTTCAAGTGCAACCCAATTATGTTTGAGTTATTTATTTCCTCATACTCGCACACAACCATTGCTCTCCCGTTATTCCTCTGACCACCACACCTTGCCCTTCCCGCGTGTTTTACTTACTTTCTGTGGTAACTTTCTTGTATTTTCTGAATCCCCAATTTGTAAGGGATTCATCCGCCTCAAAGTCATCATTGGTGGAAGAAAAACAAATATAATCTCATCATAACTTTGTCTGCAGAGGGGCAAAGCCATACATGTAGGGCAAGGGGACAAAAAGGTGGGGCTAAAGAGAAAATGCATCAAAGGGGCATTTAATGAAGCACAAGCTCCAGACGTTATCAAGGCAGTCATATCGGTAAGTGGTAGAAGTACTAGTCTTAGATACTGAAGTAAAAACATGTAAGAAGTGTGTGGGCTTAAACATGAGGAGTAAAAGTAAAGTAGAGTAAAAGTGGCCAGAAAATTGTAAAATAAAGTACTGAAACCAGAAAAAAAACATTCTTTAAGTGAAGGCTAGTTACTTTTCAAACTGTGAAGAGAGAGAGATAAATATCAAGCAACAATGTCAGGAGCAGTGGTCACCGTAGGACAGCGTCCAGGGGCCCATCTCCAGATGTTGATGCTTGGCTTGGTCACGAGCCGGAGCACCAGATGAACACTTAAGAACAGAACACTGTTCCGACAAGGATTCAAGCACAGGAGCTTCTTGCTGTGAAGCGACAGTGCTATTCACAGTGCCACTATGCCGGCCTTCTTGCAATTGGTCGAACCATTCTCTTCCAGATAATATTACTGGTTGTGGTTTTGCCAAGGAGGGTCTTTTACTTTTATACTATGTACTTAATTTACATGACAGGGCAGGGTTATATGGTCAAAAAAATACATTACTTAAAACATGAAATGATACAATTGATATCACTGACATCCCCTTTAAGTAAAAGGGCAACTTAAAGACAAACATATAGTTAGTTTCCACCTCTGCTTATTTCCTGTGTGAAGTCATCTAGCCCCAGAAAGACCTTTGAATGTGTAAAGATAGATGTTTGTTCCTATTTTCTTATGACCACTAACAGAACTGATGTGTTGTGTTTACAGCCTCAGTCACACCCGCCCAGCTGCTGGACTGCAGACGTGGACGAAAGTATATATGCAAATGTGTAGAGCAACTTAATAGTTTGTCTTGTGCTTTAATGTCTTAAAGAGAAAATATATGAATAATTGTTTTTTTCCCCTTACACATTGTTGAGAATACTTACCTTGGTATTTGATGTTTTATCACTTGAAATAATTGAAACAAACAGGTTGCATTTTGATGTTATAATTTGTATGTGAAGATGACCAAAGGTGTAGTCCTATTGAAGACCTGGTGGAGATTAAGGATGTAATTAATCTTTATTTATATAGCGCCTTCTTCACAGACCAGAGTCACAAAGCGTGTATTTGCATTTGTCTCTCACTCCACACAGAGATGGGAACGAGGTCGCCGTACAGGAGGCACATGCCAGACCTATTGTACATGGTTTTAGTGGTAGGGTAAACCGGAACTTCTGGAGGAAACCTACACAGACACGGAGAGAACATCCATCCATCCATTTTCTACCCTTTAATCCATTTCTGGGTCAGAGGGGTGGCAGTCAGAGACGCCACCCAAGTCTCATAGCACCAGCCCCTCACTGACCCTCTGCAGGTGGTGAGTCCACAGGAGGACGGCTGCTCTCTGAGTGTGAGCATAACCTTGATCTTTCAGTGGGGGCTTTGGGCAAAGTGGGGTTAAGTGTCTTGCCCAAGGACACAACGACAGCAGTCATCAGAGAGAACATGCAAACTCTAAATAGAAAGGTCTAGAGGTGGAATCGAGCCGAGGACCAGCATCACTGCTTACACTGCTGCCCTGGCAACGAATAAAGCGGAAGAAAATGCAGGGATGGATAATGGATGAGTGGATAATCTTGTTATCGTCTTTTTTAATTTGTCTTTTTGGTCCGAAATAGATTTTCAAAACTAAAATTGTACTCTTTGAGGTTTGCTTATTTTGACCACTAAAATTGCGATTTGGATTTGACTCTTATTTTGATTTATTTATTCATAAATTCAGTATACCAGATTATAGCAAAAAACATCCATATGTTGTCAGTTTTTGCAATTCACTTTTCTGCCCTAGTTCATCAGCTGCATTCCGACAGAGGATTATGACTCAACTCCTCATGTGACTCTACCTCCACAACAACCCATTCTTCCACATCCAGGGAACAGACATTATATCATTCCATTTTGTATTTTACTTTTTTGTATTTGTAAGTCATTATACACAAACATAAACAGACTATGAATACATAAATATAATACATAAAAAGGGGTAGGAGGTGGTATGAGGTAGGGAGTGAAGTTCAGACTGGGAGACTAAGCGCAAATCTATGTCATGCAATAAACATCATTCTTATATTTATGCATACTTTCATGTCATGTCTGTCATGCCAGAACAGATTACTGTGCAAAACCAATAAACATTGTTTTTCTGTTGAGTCTCTCAGTTTGAAAATGTAATCTCTTCTTGTCCTTACAACTATTTGGCAGTCCATTCCATGCATATGCATATATCCATTTGAAAAGGTACTCAGTTGCAATTTTTTTTTTTTTTTGCATTTTGATCTAACTATTGGAACACTTTCTAGTCATTGCAAGTCTGGTTTTATGTATGTGTTTCTCAAAGCTGAAATGTTTGAGATTTTTAGATTTTGTTCCAGTTTAAGAATGTATATTTTTAATAGATATAGTTTCTATAATAATATTGAATGTTTAAAAATTACAGCCGAACATATTCATACATTATTAACGCATTTTTAACTAATCACTTTGATAAAGTGTAGTTATACAATGGCGTTATAACATGGTAGTTATGGAGCATTTCCAGACCAAAACCAACTATTTTGTAAAACATGTATCACAATAGTTGCCTTCTTGCTGCTAAGGAAGGTTTCTCACCCATCATCTCTACTTCTTAGCAAGTTTTCCCGACGTTTCGTCCTCAACCTAGCGGACTTCTTCAGGGAATGAATTCTCGGACCGGGCGTTGGAGATTTATAACCTATGGGTGTGGTTAGCCACACCCTAATCCTGATACTAACTCATAAACAATCTAAGGTCTGTTTGCTGTAGAAGGGAGCAGGTCTAACAACCCTGCTGAGGCTAACGACCCTAACTCCTTAGCATGTCACAGACCTGTTGTCTGCTGGGATGCTCAAGTGGAGTGCAGGTCTCACCCCTCCTAACTCATTAGCATGTCACTGACCTTGTCCCAAGTTAGGGCGTTGTTTTTAGGATGTCGTCATAGATGCGAGGAAAAACAAATCTTAACCCTCCTCCTCTGTTAAGAGAAGGTTTTTGTTTCCTCACAAAAATGGCTTCTTTCACTCCTCTCTCAAACCAATTCTTCTCCCGAGCCAGAATTTTAACCTCTGTGTCATCCACCGTGTGGTTGGAGGCCTTGAGGTGGAGATGAACAGCCGACTGTGGCCCACTAGAGTTTTCTCTACGATGTTGGTAAAGTCGTTTCTGTAGAGTTTGTTTGGTTTCTCCAATATAGTGGTCAGTGCACTCCTCTTCACTACATTTAATTGAATACACCACATTGCTCTGTTTGTGTCTGGGTGTTTTGTCTTTGGGATGCACTAATTTCTGTCTTAACGTGTTGAAAGGTTTGAAATACACAGGGATTTTGTGTTGCCTAAAGATTCTTTGTAGTTTCTCTGAAACTCCCGCCACATACGGTAAGGACACGCCTCTCCTCCTACTTTCTTCTGTCTGTTGGACTGTGTCTCTGGCCTTTCTCGTCCTTTGGGCTTTAGTAAAAGACCACTTGGGGTAGCCACATCTGGAAAGTGCTCTCTGAACATGTTTGGTTTCTCTGTTCTTTCCCTCCGAGCTTGTGGGGACCTGGTGGGCTCGGTGTTGAAGCGTTCTAATGACCCCGAGTTTGTGTTGTAGCGGATGATTTGAGTCAAAGGCCAGGTACTGGTCAGTGTGAGTGGACTTTCTGAAGACCTCAGTCTCTAATTGTCCGTTCTCCAGTATGATGACCTTACAATCTAGAAAGGCGAGTTCACTCTCCTTAGCATCCTCGCGAGTGAAATTTATAAAAGGGTCCACCGAATTAATGTGTTCTGAAAATGGTTCCACTTCCTGTTTCTTTAACTTAACCCATGTATCGTCTACATATCGAAACCAATGGCTTGGCGCTGTCCCTTGGTAAGAGACAAGGGCTTGTTCCTCCAGTTTCTCCATATACAGATTGGCCACTATAGGAGAGACTGGGGAGCCCATCGCACAGCCATGAATCTGTCTAAAGAAGGTGCCTCTAAATTGGAAATACGTGGTGTTAAGACACATTTCAAGTATTTCACAGATGTGGTCAGCTGTTAGTTTCGTTCTCTCCCCTAGTGTGGCGTCTTTCTGCTAAGGAGTTAGGGTCGTTAGCCTCAGCAGGGTCGTTAGATCTGCTCCCTTCTACATCAAGCAGACCGTAGATTGTTTATGAGTTAGTATCAGGATTAGGGTGTGGCTAACCACACCCATAGGTTATAAATCTCCAACGCGCGGTCCGAGAATTCATTCCCTGAAGAAGTCCGCTAGGTTGAGGACGAAACGTCGGGAAAACTTGCTAAGAAGTACAGATGATGGGTGAGAAACCTTCCTTTGCTTTGACTAATCCCTGTACGACTGAGAGCTTACACAAACTTCTTGCTGCTATACTTGCTTTGAGTGTAATGCTTTTGAGTGGTAATATCTCCTAACAGAATGCATTACTGTAAGCAGGGCTTGCCTCTCCGCAGATGTCACCTGTAACTATGAGGTACACTATGTAGTTTTACTCCCATAGCATTGAGATCTTATAGTGCAGTATTTTGGTACGACAGTAGCTTTGAAGGAAAACATGTTTTCTTTGACAGTGGTCCCGAACTCCCGGTCATTCGAACCGGGGCCAAGGAAAGAATCCTTTAGTTTGATAAATGCCCAGATCTCTCCTTCGTCTTGGTCACTTGACACAGTAGCGCTACTGCGCTAGTTGGACTGCGCTCGGAGCGGGTCAGAACATCCGGAGGCCCGTGTTGCAGATTTTTCCCCATTCTCATTACTTTCGGTGTTCACGTGTGCACATGCTGTGTACAAACTGCAGCAATGTGCGTCCTATTGTTTTAACTCTGCCTTTCGGTGCATTTGGTTTGCGATTTTGACAGGTTTTGCTTTAATGACGCGGGTTTCTAGATTTTTTTTCTAAAATGATGGTACATTCGTTTCAATGACGGAGATAGGCGAAACTAGATTTGTTAATATTTTTAGTCTATGGTATTATTCCATTACTTATTTCTGTGTTTTCCACATTTACGCCATCTATCTATATTTTTCCAATTGCAAATCTTTTATTGTACAATTTAATCGCCTAATACTGTAATGTGAATACTATTATCCCACCAGGAAAACTATCCTCTTCCCCTTAATCAATTTCTGGGTCGGGGGGGTGCCAGTCAGAGCTGCACCCAATTCACAGAGTACTGTGAGAGCCCCCCACTGATCCTCCTGCAGGTGGTGAGTCCACGTGAGAATAGCTGCTCTGTAAGAGAGAGCACAGCCTTGATCTTTCAGTTGGGGCTTGAGAAATAGTCAAATAAACTGTGATAAAAATGTAACAACAATGTAGTACACTTTCAGTGAAATATTTGTGTTTTCACTGCAATATCTATGAAGTTAGTACCTGAAAAGACCAGAAGAAATTGTAATGCTTAGAGCAGGTTTGTGCATACAGACCCTTTCAAGTGAATGACAGCGGACAGTTATACACAGTCTTAAAGTATTTAAACAAATTTTTTTAGACAGCAAAACCCCTTTGAAAGGATTTCCCCCCGTTTTTTAATTTTATTTATTTATTGTTTATTTGGTATATATATAATGATGAAAGTTGGTGAAAATGTGCATTTTTATGGGTGGGATAATGTGGGCTAAATTTTATTTTTTTGTTCAAATATGGATGATATGGCTCTGTAGTCTGACCTCAAAGACTGATCAGAAATTCTGACGTAAAACACTGATATGAAGACCAAGACTGATGTACGAGAGACTCAAATATTTATTGTCAAGTTTTTCATCCTTGATTATGAAGTGGGAGTCCAGGGAGGGCAGGTAAGGAAGGGAGATCAGCTTCCTGATTGCCTGATGGATAAAACAAATCTTCAGTAAACTGAACCTGTCCCGTGGATTTCTCAGTCTCTCACCTGAAGGCATAACTTTGAAGGGCTGTTGTGGGTGCGTAGGGTCCCAGGTAATTCTGGCGGCTTTGGGAGAGAGGTAGGTATTGTCCTGAACGCTGTGGGGGCCCCACAGACCTTCTCAGTTTCTCTCACATAATGCTGGAGGCTCCTGCGGCAGGTGGCAGAGCTGGCATCGTGCGATGCAGTGATGGAGCTGGTCAGGCTCTTGAGTCTCTCTGTAGAAGTTGCACATAACCGAGACTGGGACTCCGCTTCTCAACTTGCAGCAAAAGCCGAGACACCGATTGCTTTTCTTGACCAGTGATGTAGTGTGCATGGGCCATAAGAAGGTCCTGTGTGATGTCCACATCAGGACCTTGGTGCTGGTCCCCCTCTCTGCAGGAACACTGCCGAGGAGCATGGTGGGCCTGCACTCTTTTAAAGTCCACAACAATATCTTTTGTTGTGCACCACATGGACAGACTGCTCTCCTAACTCCTGCAGTTTGCCTTGTCTCTGTTGCGGGGGAGTCCCCGCACTGCTGTGTCATCAGCAATACTGATGCAGAGGTTTGAGTGGTACTTTGGTGAGCAGTCATGCAGAGTGAACCAGAGTGGGCTCAGCACACAGCCTTGGTGAATCTCATTGCCCATTGTGATGGTTCTGGAGGACTTTCCATACAGCCTGTGTTATCCCATCAGAAAGGGGATTCTAGTGTTGAATGCTGAGCTGATGTCTTCAAAGAGCATTCTAACATAGGAGTCTTTTGTTTCAAGGTGAGTGAGGACTGTAGAAGTGCAGTGGAGATGGCATTGCTCCACTAAGCACTGGTCAAACTGGTATGGGTCCAGGGTTGGTGGGAGAACAGACTTGATGTGGTCCATACGAGCCACTCAAAGCACGTCATAAGAATTGGAGTGAGTGCGACTGGAAGGTAGACATTTCAGCTGGAGGGTGGGGACTTTGGTGCTGGAATGAGGATTGTGTCTTTAAAGTGCATTGGGACAACACCTGCAGAGATTAGTTAAACATGTGAAGACTTTGGAGAGTTCATCAGCACAACCTTTCAGTACATAATAATAATAATAATAATAATGCATCGGTTTTATATAGCGCTTTTCTGGACACTCAAAGACGCTTCACATGTGTCATTATTCATTCACTCCATACACGGTGGTGATAAACTACTACTGTAGCCACAGCTGCCCTGGGGCACACTGACAGAAGCGAGGCGACCAGTATGCGCCATCGGCCCCTCCGACCACCACCAACCATTCACACACACACCAGACTCATTCTAGGCAATGGGGGTGAAGTGTCTTGCCTAAGGACACAACAGCAGTTTGGCACTTTACAGCCGCAGCCGCCCCACTGTGGCTGGTGTTCCCAGAGGTTAAGTACCATACCTATCATTTAGTCTGCATCTGGCCATTTGCGTAACTTGATCTCTCTCAGAGATCTTCTCTCACTTTCTACAGGTGCGATGGGAGTTAGCACCTGTAAACTGGTGTGCTCTGGATTGAAGACAATGGTAATTTTGATGGCAAAAAATGTGCAAACTCAGTTTGGAAGTTAACTCTGATGGCAGATGAACAGGGGGGTTTAATCTATTAAAGGAGCTATACCCGTTTGTGCAAGGTTTTTTCAGTTTGAACGTTTAGCACCGCCCCGCAACTCGCTCACAGGCTTCTCGTTTTGAGAACCCCCCCTACTCTCCCCACGCTCTCCTCCCACGGAGCCATCTAGTTTTATTTCCGATCTGATACATGCAAACATTAGAATTAGCGCAACTTCTTGTAAGCCGTACAACGATGGCTGATTAAATGATACAAAAGCAACGCACTGCTAACAAAATATATAACTTAAAGATTACTGTTAGTTTCACATCCAAATGTACTCTGAGGTGGTCCCGCTCCTGCAGGCCTCTCCAGCGAGGATACAATGTAAGCTTCATATATTCAACCGGGCTTGATATCTTCTTTTATCATTTTTTCGCTTTAGTTCCCTCTTCTCCTCCTCACGGTTGCGTCTTTTGGGCAGTTTTGCTGTGTCTGCAGTTACAGCCAGAATAGGTAGCCACTTTCTGCTGCCATGCTGTTCTGTTTACCTGCGCTGCAGACTCTGGAGGAGACATGGCCTGTTCGTAACAGCGCCGTTCCTCGTTCTGTGGGTGGAGGAGAACGAGCGTCATACAGTTTCTACTCAGCACTTTTTACGCCCCGGAATTCATACACACGCTGAATCAAGGAGCTCAAGTTATTAATTAAATTAACTTTTACACATTTTACTTGACTCATTAGAAAATAAATCAGGTATAGTTCCTTAAACTGGACTTTCAACAAACCATGAAATTTGCTGGAAATAATGTCATACATTTATTTATTAATGAAATGAATGAGATTTGTGATAGTATTTATTGAGAAGAACTTCTATATAGAAGAAGCACACAATTTAAATATTAGCATACACCGTGTCATCGTCTGGGTCGAACATCTGTGGAAACAATGGAAATGAATGAGTTTGGGTGTTTTTACTTAAAGTTATGTTTAAGTTAACGACTTACATACCTCGTCGTTGCCATATGTGTGATCATTGCTGCAGTCAACTGGAGGATGGACAGCTGCAGAGATCTTCCTATTTGTGGAATAAAACTGTTTAAGACAAAGAAAATATAAAAAACTAAATGGATTGTCCTTTTACCTTAAGGGGACAGTGTACTGCGGAGTCCTCACGTGGTCTTCATTGAGTTTCTGAGAATAAGGTTCACTGTCACGGCTTTTCTGGCAACTATAGAAATACCAACAAATTAATAATAACATGATTAACATCTAGACAACATTCACGTGCACACACACACTCAACATGGACACAAACACACAACACGCAAGCACATACACCTGACACATGTGCATATGTGCAGTGTTGTTCACACATGCATTGCAGTTATTAAGACAAATTACTAATGTGCCCAATGCATTTTACATTCTAATAATCCAACGCTGCTGCTGTTCAGTTTACCCCAATCTTTAACTTATGTTTCAATATTAGATGGTTATGAAGAGACAGACAGGTACAGTGTAGACAAGGTGATCAATATGATGTTGATGAGACTTGCTTTGTAACTTGTATAAAGCACATGTTGTAAATAATAATAATAATAATGATAATAATGCATCAAACTTATATAGCGCTTTTTAGGACACTCAAAGACGCTTTACAAAACACGTAGAAATAAACATTGAAAAACAAAATTAAGGAAAGGCAAGATGAAACAGGTGGGTTTTTAGGAGAGATTTAAAGTTCTGTAGTGAGTCTGAGTTTCTGACGGGTTGAGGGAGTGAGTTCCAGAGAGTGGGGGCAGCTGCAGCGAAGGCTCGGTCCCCCAAACTTTATTGTGAGCTCATGATACTTTGCTGTGGTGGTGTTTGTCAGTGAAGCAGCAGCATTTACAGTTGAGCTCAGTTTTGATCTGGGCTCTGAAGCCTCTCATGGTCTCGAGCACCTGCAAATTAACTCAGGCATCTTTCTCCGCCCCTGCCTTCAGCCGTCTCCTCTCGTCTGCGGTATGAGTCAGGTTAAACAGGCCTAACAAAACTTCAGGACAGTACGAGGTCTGAATACCCGCCTCCAGAGCTGCTCATGATCAGTTCAGTCTCTGCTCTCAGCTGTTGTACACCATCCCTCCACATTCAGACATGGTGAGTAGGTTTTATAAAGATAAGTACACAGAAATATGTAACCCTGGGTTAAATTTCAATCCATCCCTGGTTTTCCCCTTCTCTAGCAATTAGCCAGAGCATAGCACCTGTCCCAGAACACACACACACACACACCTGATTTCATAATCAGTACAGTTTAAAAGCTGCTATCACTTCTCACACTCGAGTGTGAGGAGTGAGGAGTAAGGAGACAGCAGCTGCTAGGTCAGTCTTTGAATCACTTTAAACTTTTTCATCTTTATACATTCAACAAACTTACCAGTTGCATTATTTTAATTCACAGACTAAACATTTGTGTGTGTGACAGTAGTTTTCCGGTGTGTGTGCTCACGATAATCTGGACTGGTGAGTGTACCACAGATTATTATGTACTGTAATTGTAAATTAGCATGCTGATATGCTAGTTTGTGGTTTTAATGTGTGATGTCCAACATCCATGTGATTTTGACTGTGATTTGTTTAGCTTAGCATAAGCTCCTGTTGATTTGTATATGGTACCATTGATTTATATTTGACTTTGTGCACATGACTGAGAGGCCTTGTTTGTTTATACAGGCCAGGTTTCCCATTGCTGGGGACCTAATTGATGGCGAGCTAGAGAGCCTGGAACTGTCTTCCTGTGTGTTAGTCGACTCCTAGTGGGTGGGAGGCTAAGCAGCCTGTCTCCTTTCTTTTTCCCTTTTCCCCTCCTTCCGTTGTGAGGATTGACACCACTCCACATATCCCGATACTCAATAAAATCGCGCTTGGACATAAACCACCTCAACCATAGCTTCCTAAGGACATTTGTGGTGCTCAAACCAAACAGTTATTGTCCATTACTGAACTTTTGGACTAACACCCTGGATTATTGAACTTTGATTCATTTCTTTTGCTTTTACCGGTATTCATTGTAAATATTTGTTCATTGGTTTCACTTTTGTTTGTATAATACACTTTACATCAACTTACCTTTTTGTACTGTCATTTACTGAGCCTATCCTCCAGCAGCCGACCCTAGACTCTTCTGATCAATAGCCCAATACTATTACACTTATCTAATTTATTACCTTTTAATAACAAAGCAGTTGTTACATAATTTGGCGAGCTAGCCAGGAGGATAGTGACACAGTAAATACTTTTCTCATACTCACCCAGTTCAAGTTATCTATAATGGAAGTTTTTGATAATCTCGGTATTATCATACCCCATGCCGTTATAGTCACTGGTGCGACTAACCAGTTATTACGCGATGAAGTAATTGCTTTTCTTGAGAAATGCGGTGACATTAATCAAGATGTCAGAATTGATAGTGTTGACTCCGATTTCCACGAACGCGTTGTTGTTGAGTTTACTACCGCGTCTGCGTTGACAAAGTTACCTTCGTTACCGTATACTTATTGTTCAGACTTAGGACATAAATTTTACGTTGCACGCTTGTCCGATGTTTACGCATCCAGAATTTGTGGTTTGAAGACAAACTCTTATCTGGCAGACCTCAAAGCAGTCGCAAAGAAGTCCGGGAAACAATACCCTGAGGTACTAAGAGATATGCTGGTCCAACTCAGTCAGTCCATTGCTGAACTCGAATCCCCTGATACACAAGCCGGTGCCTCAACCACTACATCGACTGCAGATGTTAATATAAAACTTTCTGAGAGTCCATCAGCAACAGCCCTTCCTTCCTCGTCTGCAGCTAACGCTTTTACAGAAGGAATCCAGGAGAGGCGGTCCACGATCCATATGACGCAAAGTGAGTTGAATCCACCTGAGGTCCAACGTTATGTGGTGGAACATGTTGTCCGGAGTGGGGACCAGCACCTGCAATACCATCCATCGCAACGCTTACGGACATTCTCTGGGAAAGTGCCAAGGCCAACGCATGAAACTGACTATGATACGTGGCGGTGTGCTGTGGAACTAATTCTGCAGGACCCATCCATGTCAGATCTTCAACGCACCAGGTCAATTCGGGATAGTCTTCTACCTCCGGCCGCTGACATTGTAAAACACCTTCGTTCCGACACAACTCCGGAGATCTATCTACAACACCTGGATTCTGCACATGGTACCGTACAAGATGGGGATGAACTCTATGCTAAGTTTCTGGACACTTACCAAAATGCTGGGGAGCAACCGTCTACTTACCTGCAACGGCTCCAAGTCTCATTGCAGCACGCAGTGAAGAGGGGTGGAGTTCCGGCAAGAGACATGAACAAATGCCTATTGACCCAATTCTGTCGAGGTTGTTGGGATAATAACCTCATAGTGGAATTACAGCTGAAACAGAAGAAGAGCAACCCACCATCGTTTGCTGAACTTTTATTGCTGTTACGCACTGAAGAGGATCAAGATGCTGCAAAAATTGTCCGCATGAGACAACACTTGGGCGCTAAGCAGAAAGTTTCTAACCATGCACAACGAGTTCAGACCGAAGAAGAACCCAATCTGTGTGCAGCGTTGACAACATTCACGAACCAATTGACTGAACAAATGCTAAACATCCAAAAGCAATTGGCAATGCTAACTTCCAATCAGAACCCACAGTTGTCATCACCTACTCTAAAGGCTGGGACAAAGTCCACTTCTCCCAGGCCAGGGTTTTGTTTCCGCTGTGGAGAAGATGGTCACATTAAGCCACAATGTACCAGTGATCCCAACCCAACCTTAGTGTCTTTGAAGAGAACCCGGTACAAGAGTAAACAAGGAAATTGGCAGAACCCAAGCACTAACAGACATTTAAACTAGTTCGAGTTCCTGATGAGGGACAATCAGGAACTGTACTGGACCAAGTCCGTCCCGTCAAGAACCCTGTTCAGTGTGCTGAGATGCAGTCAAGCATCCAAACAAAGCAAAAGTTACCAAAAGGGTTAATTGGTTCCAGATGTACAGCGGAAGTCACAATCGCTGGCCAATCCTGTCCAAGCCTTTTGGATACTGGATCGCAGGTGACAACACTGCCAATGTCGTTTTACAATGAACATTTATGCAATCAACGCATCCATTCACTCAATGAGCTACTCCATGTCGAAGGTGCAGCGGGTCAAGAAGTTCCTTACCTCGGTTATGTGGAGACCACAATAACGTTTCCGGAGGACTTCCTTGGGAGCAGGTTTGAAATTCAAACCCTTGCACTTGTTGTTCCTGATTTCCCTTCCAGTATACAAACCTCTGTATTAATTGGCATGAACACTCTCGAAGCTCTGTACGATCACTATTGCACCAGTGATTTTCAGACCTTCCAACCGAGAAGTCACGGCTACAGGGTTGTCTTGCAAGCACTCCAGCTGACCTGCCAAAGGGACTGCAACCATAACATCGGGCTTGTCACCCTCTGCAGTAAAACCCCTGTAAGGATCCCAGCTGGCGCGACTGTTGTGGTTGAAGGCTCAGCCAAGGTCTCCGCTTCCAGTACCAACAAGAGTGCAATTCTCCAGTATCCAGATTCAGGACTACCGGGTGGCCTGCACGTGAGCAACTGCTTGGTCAACTTACCATCTCGTTCACCCTACAAAGTGCCCGTATCTGTGAAGAATGAGTCTGGACAGGATGTATGCATTCCACCATCAGCAATTATTGCCGAACTTGAAGCCTATGTGTGTATCATCGACAGCCACCCCACTGTGCACAAACCAGGTTCAAGCTCAAAGACCAACCCCATGACGTTCAATTTCGGACAGTCACCTCTTCCAACTGAATGGAAAGACCGCATCACTGAGAAACTGAATGCCATGCCAGAAGTCTTTTCACAGCATGATCTCGACTTTGGATGCACAAGTAAGGTCAAACACCACATCAACCTTCATGATAATACCCCATTCAAGCATCGTGCACGACCCATTCACCCTCACGACATAGAAGCTGTCCGGAACCACCTCAAGGAGCTTCTTGATGCTGGGGTAATCAGAGAATCCGAATCCCCATTTTCATCCCCTATAGTTGTTGTGAGGAAGAAAAATGGAGATATAAGACTTTGTATTGATTTTCGCAAGCTGAACATTCAGACAATAAAAGATGCTTATGCTTTACCTAATCTGCAAGAGTCCTTTTCAGCGCTCAGTGGCTCCAAGTGGTTTTCAGTACTTGACCTCAAATCCGGGTACTACCAGATTGAAATGCATGAGGAGGATAAGGCCAAAACAGCCTTTGTCACTCCCCTGGGGTTCTGGGAGTTCAATCGTATGCCCCAGGGTGTCACCAATGCTCCCTCAACTTTCCAGCGGTTGATGGAGAAAAGCATGGGTAGCCTGCATCTTAAAGAAGTTCTAGTTTTCCTTGATGATTTGATCGTGTTTTCCGATACGCTTGAGGAGCATGAGCGCCGGTTACTTCACGTGCTGGACAAGCTGAAAGAATATGGGTTGAAGTTATCCCCGGAGAAGTGCAGATTCTTCCAGACCTCTGTCCGATACCTCGGCCATATAGTATCTGAGAAAGGCGTTGAGACTGACCCCGACAAGGTTTTCTCCTTGAAATCCTGGCCAGTTCCCTACAATCTGAAGAGCTTGCGATCTTTCCTCGGCTTTGCTGGCTACTACCGCCGGTTCATCCAAGGATATGCTACCATTGCAAAACCACTCAACGACTTAACTCGAGGATACTTACCTGTACAAACACCCACAAAGACTAAACCTTCCAAAGATCTGCATGATCCGAAATAGTCCTTTGGTGCCAGATGGACATCCCACTGTCAACAAGCTTTCGCGTTGCTTATTGAGAAGCTGACCACTGCTCCCGTGTTGGGATTTGCAAATCCAGCACTGCCTTATATACTTCACACAGATGCAAGCACCACTGGGCTTGGCGCTGCTCTGTATCAGGAGCAGGAGGGGAAGCTGAGGCCCATTGCTTTTGCAAGTAGAGGGTTGTCTCAGTGTGAAAGTCGCTACCCTGCACACAAGCTCGAGTTCTTGGCTCTGAAGTGGAGTGTGACAGAGAAGTTCCAAGACTTCTTGTATGGGGCTGATTTTACTGTAATCACTGACAGTAATCCGCTCACCTACATTCTGACTTCCGCTAAGCTCGATGCCACCAGCCATCGCTGGCTTGCTGCTCTCTCAACATTTTCCTTTAAACTGCAATACAGACCGGGAAAGCATAACTTGGATGCAGATGCTCTATCTCGCCGTCCACATGACAGTCCCATCGATGAGTGCCCTCAGAAAGATCAAGAATTGTTAGTTACCTATTGTAACTGTAGTTCTACGAATAGTGCGTAGCCCCTTAGGCTCGCTTTGGGTATGACTCCAGAAGCACCTAGCTTCCCGCCAGAGAGAACTCAATGCTCCAATCACTGTGCAGAACCTCCTATAAATAGCCCACAGCAGTCCATGCTCTTCACTTTGAACTCGCCAAAGCCAGGTTGGACTGATGGGCCCGTAGCTAAGGGGCTACGCACTATTCGTAGAACTACAGTTACAATAGGTAACTAACAATTCTACTTCATAGTGCTACGCCCCTTAGGCTCGCTTTGGGTAACGAAGCGTAGCCTAAGAGTATGTACTCCCATCAGGCCAGCTAGCTGTGATTGGAGCCCTGCCGAGTAAGCCCTAACACCTCCAAGGTGTGGGAACTCAAGACAGACAGGGAATGAGCAGTGATGGGGCCGCTCCTATCAAGGACGCCCAAGGATAGGCTCAAAGGTGAAGCAGTGGTAGGGCCGCTCCTATCAAGGACGCCCGAAGCACTAACAGAATCCAAGAGGGAGGCCGTTCCAGGAACATCCAAGTCTCTGACCAAACGCCCAAGGGCGAAGGTCACTTCCCAGGACGCCTCTACCAAGAGCTCCTGAGGAACACCGCGCACGCCCCCGTAGGGGAACAAGGAACAGTCCCAGACCGCCTCTACCAAGAGCACCAGAGGACTGCACAATGCCGCGAAGGAAGAAGGAGAAGGCTGAGCCCAGGACGCCTCTATCAAGAGCTCCAGGAGGGGCCGGCCGCTCCAGACAACATAGACCGCAGAAAGCCTCAGAGAGAGCCAGACACGGTCGCATCAGTCCCAGAGCTCAGGATGGAGTGAGCAACAGACCGCTCTGACACATCCACCAGGTAAGACAGAGCAAAGGTGGAAGACAAAGCCCAGGACGCAGCCTGGCATACCTCCTCCACCGAGGCCCCTCGTAGCAGAGCTGTGGAGGCCGCCACGCCCCGAGTGGAGTGCGCTCGGAACCCCACCGGGGGCACCATCCCCTGGGCCTGATACGCCGAGCGAATCGCCCGGGACACCCAGTGCGCCAGCCGCTGGGAGGATAACGGGGCGCCTCTGTTTTTAGGCCCCAAGCACACGAACAGCTGATCCGTGCGCCTGAAAGAGGACGTGACCTCCAGGTAATGCCTCAGCATCCTGACAGGGCACAACAGGTGTCTTTGCTCATCCTCCTGCGAGGCGTGAGGCGGAGGATGAAAAGGTCTGATCCGTATGACCCTGGACCTGAAGGTTGAGGAAACGACCTTGGGGAGAAAGGCCGGGTTGGGCCACAACTCCACCAACCCATCCCCCGGACCAAAGGACAGGCAGGCCGGGCTGATGGAAAGAGCGCACAGTTCTCCCGCCCTCTTGGTTGATACCAGAGACAATAAGAGTGCGGTCTTGAAGGCCACGCATTCTGGGCTGGCACGGGTCAGGGGTTCGAAAGGAGGCCCTGACAGCCCTTTCAAAACCACCTTGAGGTCCCAGATCGGAGGTGTTCGTCTAAGGACCGGCCTCTTCCTGTAGGCCCCCCGAAGGAAGCGTTTGATTAACGGGTGGGAGCGGGCTGAAAACCCCCCGAACCCTTCGTGACCAGAGGCAATGGCCGAAGCGGACACAGCCAAGGTACTAGCGGCCCTGCCCTTATCCAAAAGGTCCTGCAGGAAGCCCAGGACGCCCTCTAGAGGGCAAGACCTGGGGTCCCACGAGTGGGCCGCGCACCAGTCTTTGAAAAGCTTCCACCGGCACCCGTAAGCCCTCACGGTGGAAGGTGCCCTCGCCCCTTGGATGGTATCCACCACCGCCCGGGGGAGGCCTAGTCGGGCTAGGTTCTGCCTCTCAGCCTCCAAACCCAGAGCCTGTGGCCCAGGACTGGGCGGGAGCGAAGCGTCCCCCCTCCCTGGACCAGGCCCCCTGGCACGTCCGGGAGAGGCCACGGGTCCATCACAGACATGTTGGTCAGGAACGGGAACCAACGGGCCTGTGGTCTGTCTGGGGCGACCAGGATTACCTCCCGCTCTTCCTGCTCGATCCTCCTCAGTAGGATCGGTAGGAGACGAGGGGGGGGGAAGGCGTACAACAGGCCCCCTGGCCACGGATAATGAGCCAAGGCATCCACCCCTAGAGGCGGATTGTCCGTGGGTCTCAGTGCGAACCAGAGCGGGCATTGCGCGTTGTCTGCACTGGCGAACAGGTCGACCACAGGCCGACCAAACCTCTGCCAGACCTCCGCTGCCATCTGCGGGTCGAGGCCCCACTCGTCCTCGAGAGGGCCTCCCCGTGACATTATGTCCGCCCCTGTGTTCCTGTCTCCCGGAACATGACGCGCTCTCAGAGACTGCAGATGCCCTGCAGCCCAGATCAGAATGGTCGCTGCCAGTCGGTGGAGGGCTGGGGACCTCGTGCCCCCCTGCCGGTTCAGATACGCCACCACTGTGGTGTTGTCTGAGCGCACCATCACGTGTCTCCCCGCTAGTTGTGGAGCGAAATGCAGAAGCACCCTGTGAACCGCCTCCATCTCCAGCAGATTGATGTGACGAAGAGGGCCTGACCAGGCGCCCCCCACAGAGCTCTGGTGCAGAACCCCCCCCCATCCCTCCAGAGACGCGTCCGTGAACACCTCCACGTGTGCCACGGCACCGACCAGGGGAACTCCTTCCAGCATCAGACCGGGCGTGAGCCAGTAGCTCAGGTCCTCGGCCACTCCTGGAGGAACAATGAGCCTTCTGCCCCCGTCTCTTGTGGGATGTAGTCGGAGACGGGAGAACCATCTCGCGACGAGCCCCTTCATGTCTGGACCGAAGAGGGAATCCAAGGAGATAGGGAGGTCCAGGAGCTGCCTCTTCTCCGTCTCCTTGATGTCCGCTAGCCCCAGCCACAGGTGGCGAGCACCGACCTGTGCAGACGCCATGGATCGCCCACTGTCAATAGCCAGCGCCTGGATCATACGGAGTATGGCCGCCGTGGTGGTTCTGGCCCGGTCCAGGTCCTCGTCGGTGAGAGCTTGACCCGTGGATAGAGACCTATCGAGGGCCCCGGTGAGAAGAGCCATATTGCTAGCTAACGCAACGACCTGTGCTGCGTTAGCGTAGCATCTATCCAGTACAGCCATGCTCATCCTATCCCGCTCCGAGGGAAGGAGAGGTCTGCTGCCGGGCCACACCGAGGACTGCGGGAGTAGTGCGAGCCGGACAGCGTCCTCCACTTCCGGGACCCCTTTGGACCAGGACCAGTCTTGGACCGAGCAATAGGCGCCGTACCCCAGAGCAGGCTTCTTAGCTGCTAGGGGTTTGGCCCAATCACGTGCCGCGTAATGGAAAACCGGATCCATCCGCGGACACAGTGTTGGAGCTCGTCTCTTCTTCCCTGGAAGCGATGAACCCACCGACGTGAAGTCGCTCTCTCTCTGGGTGGGTTGCGGAGGCAGGGGGGTCTCCATGGTGGCCGCTGCCGTGGCGAAGAGGCGGGGCATGTGGTCCAGAGGGAAGCGGTCTTGTTCCTCGCACAAGGAAATAGCCTCGTCGAGTGACGTAGGAACCCCGGTCCTCGTCAAACTCTTCCTCCACAACACAGTCTCCCCACTCCCTGGGTGCAGGAGGCAGGTCGAGCGGGACATACTCAACCTCAGGTTCCTCCTCCTGGGAGGGACCCGGGCGAGCCTCCGCGGAGGTGGCATAAGCAGCGCGGCGCTCTCTCTCCTCCCCGGGGAGAGAAAGGCACGCCGCACACGTCGCCGCTTCCCGGTGGTGGTGAGCTCCCAGGCAGAGGAAGCAGAACTCGTGCCGGTCTTTGCGGTGGAGCTTGGTCCGGCAGCCACCGCACCGTCTTCGTCCGACGCCGGATGGCGAAGGAGTTCTCGGACGAGGAGGAGTAGACATCGCGATCTTCAATGGTGAGTAGAACTTCTCTCAATGGCGCCAGAGTTCAAAGTGGAGAGCATGGACTGCTGTGGGCTATTTATAGGAGGTTCTGCACAGTGATTGGAGCATTGACTTCTCTCTGGCGGGAAGCTAGGTGCTTCTGGAGTCATACCCAAAGCGAGCCTAAGGGGCGTAGCACTATGAAGTAGAACTTGTCCATCAGTTCATGGAGCAACATCTATTGGATGAAGACAATGCTCAACTGGAGGCTGAAGTTGTGGATGCAATTTGTCAGAGCAGTCTTCTGAGGACCCAGGCTCAAACTACTCTTGTTGAGTCCCTTTCCATCAGGTCAGGTTCCCTTCCTGAGGCCTTCACCGACAACCTGGATGGGCTGCCTGTAGTCTCGGCGCTGACCCCCCTTGAACTCCAAGACAAACAAAGGGCAGATCCAAGCCTGCATGAGGTAATCCATCAGCTGGAATCCGGTGAAAGTGTTCCACCAACTGCCAGAGAAGAGCTGCCAGAGATTCCACTCCTGCTACAAGAGATGAACAAATTGGAACTTGTCGATGGCATTCTGTATCGCAAGCGGCAGGACAACGAGCAAC